GTTTTGAATGAGATATTTAAGTTTAAAGTTCAAGAAAAATTTCAATAAAAACAATTTGCCTGGATTCTGTTGACTTCCCCCCATATTGTGATCATCAGTTAGTGTAACCATTAATATATCACATTTTTATATCACGCTTGATGAGCCATATGATAAAAATAAATCAAAAAATTACATACGTATATGCAGGTTTTTCTGTGCCCAATAATAAAAATCCGAAGGGATCTACCACAAAATTCCTAAAAACATATTTCCCGTCGCGTTACGTGACGCATATTCAAAATCTTCTGATAATTTGCGTTAGTAATGATTACTACTTTGAATATGCATCACGCAACACGACAATTAATTTTCGGGATTTTGTGGTGAAACCAAAACATAATAACACCGAAGGATATACTTTCTTTAACATTGCAATATATTCTGTAAATTCGAATTAATAATTTGATAAAAATAAAATACTGTAGAAGTTGAACACTTTTTTGGTTTTTATTAGAATTTATATAACTTGTATCAAAAAAAAAATTTTAATACTCTTACAAGAAAGCTAATAACTTTCATGACAACAAATGAGTCTGCCGGAGTGAAAAAAATGTTACAAATTATTGTTATATAATATAAATTAATTTTTTATATAAATATTAGTATAATGTAAAAAAATAATAATTACCACCGCCAAAAAAAAAAAAACATATAGTTCATCTACTTAGCATAATTTTTTTTATCCTGAAATGCACGATACATGAAAATGACAACATTTCTCAAAACTATTAAAAAGATCGGAATAGTAAATTGAAAATTTGTTAAAAATGATTTATAATTTTGTTCTTAGGAAGAAAAAAACAAACTAAACTATGGTTACAAGTATCGTGCCAGGAAATATTTACCCCAAATTATCTAGATTGTCTAATAATACACTATGAAAAGCTATACTAGCAATGTATAATTACATACATTATCGCCAACTTGAAAATATTAGAACATTATATACCAGCAGGTCCAGCCCATATCCATTTACCTCTTTTGTTTTTTTTTCTTAACATAAAGAGAATGCTACCAAATTTTAAGAATTTATTTTGATGCCTTCGCGTTTTGACTCAACCAATTTAGACCTTCAAATAACCCTTCTCCTGTAGTAGCGCAAGAGGGATGAACGTACCAAGCCCGATCGCGCATATGATGTAGATTAAGTTTTTCGGTGACTTCTGCAGGAGACATTGCTATTGAGCAATAATAGTGTGAATAAAGTAGGAATTCGATAATATATATACAGTCGACCTCAAATGAATCCGACTCTTATGTTAATTCGGTATAGAAAGTATGGTTGACTGTATATCATGAATGGAAAATGGATGGATGATAGTGTAAAAAAAACAAAAAAAACAGAACATACCGCCTGGTAAATCTTGTTTATTGGCAAATATTAATAGTAAACAGTCTCTCATTTCACGATCTGAAATAATTCTATGCAATTCCTGACGTGCCTCATCTATTCTGTCACGATCCTGTGAATCAATTACGAATATAAGTCCTTGAGTACCTGTATAGTAATGGCGCCAAAGTGGACGAATTTTATCTTGTCCACCAACATCCTAAGTGATTAATTTAAAAATTATTTTACATATTCTAAATGAATAATTTGATAATTTCGATAGATAACTTACCCAAACGTTGAATTTAACATTTTTATATGTTACTGTTTCAACATTAAAACCAACAGTGGGAATCGTCGTCACAGATTGATTAAGTTTTAATTTATATAAGATAGCTATTGATTAAATTAATTTCGAATTAAGGATTACGATAGATACTAAAGAACGGGTAAAAAACAATCATTCAACTTCTACATTAATAATTTGATAATAGAATCTTATTAAATCCTAAAATGATAAAGGATACTTGTTTTACCAGCAGCATCTAAACCTAACATCAGGATGCGCATTTCTTTATTGCCAAAGATCTTTGACAGGGCTCTCGATACATAGGCACCCATTGTTATAATGTGAAAGTGATCTAATTAAATTTCTTTCCTAATTGGATGAGGAAAAGCAAGTAAAGACAGAATAGTAGCTAGTAGCGTGCAAATGTCTCTATTCTCTTTGTATGTCACTGTCGATGTTTGCTGGAAAACCGCCAAAGAGAGGAAACTGGTGATGAGAATTTATAAAGTCTACTTTTAAAGGAATAATAAAATATACCTAAAAACAAATGAAAAGTTTGTAACGTAATTTAAATTTCTAAAAATAGTATGTGTAACCGTGTAACGGTTATTCTTTTTTCTGGACATTTCGAAACATCCTTCTTTAGCTTCAATATTGTAAAGTTTTTTTCGGCTTTGATTTATATTTTAATTTATTTGGTATAATAACGAACTTAAATGAACATGGATGATGCAATAACGCAAATGCTCGACTCTATAACATTTTAAGGCACATATTTATGTAACGATAACCGTTTGACATAGTAATTGATCATTTTTCCTCAATAGGCATGCCGATGTACGTACATAGCGCGGAATTACATGATTTCATCTTCAATGCTAAGATCGATATCTGTCAATATGAGTAGATATAAATAAATATTTCCTATAGCGATAGGGTTTCTATTATGAAAGTTACAACTGAGTAAAGGAAAACCTGTCGTAGGAGTTTCAATTATATTTTGTGTACAGTTGGCCGTCTAAGGAGAATCTATCGTCGGGCTTCAAATATATTTTTGTGACCTGACATAGTTTCTAACTAATTTTTCAGGGTCAAAATATATTTGGAAGCCCGACGATAGATCCTCCAACTGTACACAAAATATAAACTCCTACGACAGGTTTTCCCTTGCGGCACTCATATAGTATGAATGTTCGGAGCTTCGTTCCGAATAACAAATCTAAAATAACATTTTATGAAGTGCCGGCATTACGAAGGTTCGGCCAGAATTAATTTCATAGTTTGGTAATCCGCAATTTTATTAATTTTTATTGGATTATTGTCACATGCTAATCTACAATGACCAATCGTAAACGAGAACCTAATTTACACAAGATGGTGTTACATTTTCAAATTATTATATATAGATAGAAAATAATTAAACAGGGTTCTTCCTTCGTATAAATTGGCATTCTACGAACACGATGGTGAGCCATCCATTTTTAATCATTTAATTGTCAAGGATGGACAATATTTAAATTGTAGTATAAATGCTCTTTTGTTGATATTAGATCTAAAGATGAGTTAGACATCTGAAACATGGAATAGTAATACTAAATCAATGAATTTTTTTTTTTTTTTATACTATAGCCGAAACAGATCAGTGATATTAAATATTTTCTCGAAATCGCTCGTAGAAAGGATGCCAAATGTAATTAATAAATTTTAAATTCTTTTTCATTTGTTTCTGCTAATTCTTATAAATAAAAACCAAAATTTTAATGTAGCTGTTCGTATTAAGAAGAGCGGTCCATCAAAGGTGAAATTTAAGCTTCGATGTTCTAGGTATCTTTACACCTTTGTAATCGAAGATGCAGAAAAGGCCGATAAGCTTCAAAAGTCACTTCCGCCTGGTATTTATGATTTATTGTTTCATATCAATACTTATGCTTAATTAATTATTTTATGTGGTTGTAGGTCTTACGGTCACTGATGTTTCTAAGAAGGCAACTAGCAGTCATTAGAGTTTAGAACCGGATTATAGTAAACCAGGTCACCCGTGTCAAAACGGTTCAACCGGGTCAAAAAATTTACAATTCGGATCTAAAAATCTGTTTACTATTACGCAGAAAACATAAAATTTAATACATTATTGTTGTATTGTGAAAATAAACACTTTTTTTTCTTACTAATGTTCAATCTCGATAATCTGATTTTAAAAAAAGGTACAAACTTTCGTACGATTATTGCGAAATTTTTTCCTTGGCATAAGCCTTCATTATTATTTTCTTTGCTGTAATATATTGTGTGTGTTCGACACGTTCGATAGTCTAGCGGGTTATGTGACGTGATTGCGTTGTATGAATTGCAAGATCGTAGATAGCACAAAATTAATATATACGTAGTTGGTACGAAGAATGTCGAATAAATTAAAATACGTAATACCTTCCGTAATTACGAAATGATTTTCTTAGTAGTTAAAAGTATGACTACATTTTGCATGATGATTTCTAGTTTATTTTAGTCTAATAGAAAAACTGTATAAAGGGTCAATATGAATAGATCTCTCTTGAGAAAATACACATCTTAATTCTCGCCGTCACGATTATTCAAACCATTTTCAACCAGTTCACCCGATTTCTCACATTTTTAATAACATAAATGCTATGAATAAGAGGACGTACTATATTTATTCTACGTAATAAAGATTTCTAGCGTAATCAATTTTTTTATTACAATATTCATTGACTACAATTAATTTTTTGATAACAAATCTTCATCGGACATAATCAAAAAATTTTGATTATATTCATTAAGAGCGTTTATTAAAGACGTTAAAAATAAAAATAAAACATTATGCACATTAACGATTCACATATATTAAGTATTCATAAAAGAAAAAAAAAAGTTAGTCGTTGAACCCAAATACTTTCAACCCGACATATTGCTTCTCAATGGGTGTTTCTTCATCACCCGCAAATGCTAACAGATATCCTTTCGGATGCCAAGCGACAGAATTAGTAGCAGCCTTAGTTTTAATTTTAAAGACTGTCCTACCAGATTGTACATTTGACTAACAAGATACAAAATAATTAAATCATATATATTATTATAGAAATAGGATTGATGTTTGAATAAGTAAATACATACCACGATGATATGTTCATCCTCAGAAGCGGCTGCTAGATAAACACCATCATGTGTAAAACTTATAGTTCTTACGGGATACCTACAAGATCAATTTTTAACAATTCATAAATTATCCAAAACAATTCAATTAATGAAGATATTGTTTGAAATAACACAATCACTCACTGTAGTTCTTTAAATGTTCTTAGACAAACCCCGTTTTGTATGTCCCATAAAGTAACAGTGGCATCTGCACCACCTGCCGCAACGTATCTGTTAAACGAACAATAGAATGTACACGTCATTTAACTCTTTATTTATTTAATTTAATTTTAAACGAGAACAAACTCATTCCTACCGTTGCTTAGGATCAAAATCTATGCAATAACAATTAGCAGTATGTCCCCTTAAAACTTGTACGGGATCTAAGGATGGCCATTCAAGTATCTTAATTGCACCAGAGCCAGTTGTTAAAAAGAACATTGAACAATCATGGTTCCAACTTATTTCATTGATCTATTTAAATTATTGAATCATGAGATTTTTTTTAAACCATGTTATCAATACGATTTTTGATGAAATTTATATAGCGAGCCCTCTACCTCGTCTCTGATATCATCAATTTCTGCATATGTATTTACGATAGCTGGCGCTGGTAATTTCCTTGGATCAATAAATGATATTTTATCGTCCTATTAATAAATAATTCGTAAATTTAGACATTCATTTTTAAGCAATAAGCCTAAAGTAACAAAATATCTAACAAATTTAGCATGATTTAATGACAAACCTTATCACCTACAGCGACCATTTCACCATTCCAGCTCCAACTAATGTTTATATTTTCACCGTCAGTTGAAACGATATGTGTACACCTCTTGGCGTCTAAAGGAAAATAATGAATTTTAATTGACGTATAATCTAATAGATAATAATAGATAAGAATACGAACGAACTGACTAACCTCTTGTATCCCAAAATCTAACGGTTTTATCAGTAGACGCAGTGGCTAATTCGTATGGAGATTTCGGATTCCAGCACAATTGATCGACACTTTCGTCATGACCAAGTAGTTTTACAGAATATTTTATGTCTTCCTAAAGAATAACCGTGTATTAAAAAATGTTTCTAAGAATTTTTGATTCACCAATATATACAATACATAATTTAATTACCTGATCTGCTTCCCAAAGACGTACGGTTTTATCGACAGATCCACTAGCAAGTTTTCTACCATCGCAGTTCCAGGCCACAGTTCGAACGGTTTTCGTATGTCCCATTAAAAATTTGGTTCTACATTTTTCGAAGTACTTTTCTGGCTAATTAATAGCCAAGTATATAAATTTCTTATTTTCAGATATTTTGGGATGCCAAAATGGAGTGTGAAAGGACGAAAACATCCCCAAACTCTTACGTCTTCTGTTGTAGGACCTTGCGGGACCGGTTTCCGAGTAGCAGTTCTCTTGGTCACCGACGTGTTTTGTGTGATTGGTGGCATAAGATTTAAAAAGGAGTTGAGTGACTTCCGTGGACCATTAAAAACTATGTAGTATATACGTACAGTAATAAGAATTCTAGTTAAAGTTACCCAATAAGCCGAGTGGCGGTCACATGACGAAATCAAGCAGGAATCAGAAACAGTGAATACTTCCGTGAATTATTTATCACGTTACTACCAATTATTCTATTTTATTTCAACATGTGATACTATATTTAAGCTCGCCAATTGGTCACTATTTGCAACAATAATGTAATTTTTTTTTTTTTTGAACTTTGGCGACAATGCAGTTGGTTTTTATTAGCCTTAATTTGATATAGTACAAATTTATGGTTACATTTAGGATCGATTAGTACTAGTACTATATACTATCTAATTTAACATTACTGACTTCACCCGGTTACCCTTATGGCACCTAAGTGCATGTCCACCGCATGCCTGCACGCAGTTACCATGGCAACCACTTGCGGTCATGGCATACATTAAACCACTACACAGACAAGGATACCTACCGAACTTAATGTGACATCTTAAATGTCAGGAGTATTGTCTTCTGTAAATCGTATCCATATGTCTCACTTACATGTTTTACCTGGTCTTGTTTCTTCTGCCTCCTAATCTAATTATATCTAGTATTACCTTGTTCCTTACATTTCCCATCTT